CAGCCGCCGCGCCAGCGGCGACCGGCGCGGGGAGGCTGGCGCGCTGTGCGCCCGGCCCGCCCCGCCGCCCTGGTGGCCGCGGGCGGCGCGGGCCGCGGCGCCACGGCGACCGCCCCAGGGTGCCTCTCGGGCCCGCGCGCCGCCGCCGGGCCGCGCGGCGGCTCCGCGTCCGCCGGCGCCGCCACGAAGGCGAGGCGGGCGGCGCAGGCGCCGGCGAGCGAGGCGCCGCCGGAGGCCAGCGCGCGCCAGCGGGGCGAGGCCTCCTCGCTGCGACGGCCACGGCCAGGAGGGCGGGCCATCGCCTCTGGCTCGCGGCACTGGCGGCCTTGGCACCAGCCGCCTACAGGCCGCGGTGTGCGCCGCGCGCCCCGCGCCCCGCGCGCCTGGCCCAGGCCACGCTTGAGCCATTGTATCATGGACACTAACCTGGGGCTATACAATACGAGACAACACAAGTGACAGTGTCACCCCGAAACCCGTGTAAGGAAACAAAACAACAATTGATCAATTCGACTTCTACGGATCGAACCGCAGGTAGTCGCTACAAGAGGGACACCTAAAGATCTGAGCCCGGATCCCGAGGGATCCCCGACAGGTTCCTGACTTCTGAAGATGTGAGCCCAAATCCCCGGGGATTCCCGAAGGATGCATCAGGATCCGAGCCAAGATTCCCTGGGATTCCTTCGGCATCTCCAAGGATTTGAAACCAAACCCATGCCGCCTGAAAGGTGTCTAAGTATCTGAACACATATCCCTGGGGATTCCCTCGGTATTTCCAAAACTCGGAGCCCAGATCCCTAGGAATCCCATGCGGATTTCTAGGGATCTGGGCCCTAAGGGCTTCCAAAGGTCCGAGACCAGATCCTTGGGGATGACCCAAGTCTTCCGCATGAAATCTGAGCCCAAATTCTTAAGGATTCCGTAATCCCAAAAGGGTTCCGTAAGGATTCTCAGGATCCTTAGGCATCCCCTGGGGATCCCTAGGGATCGGAGCCTAGATCCGTAGGAATTCCTGACGGATCGCTCAGATCCCTCGGGTGGGTCAAATCCCTGAATGGGACCGAGAACTACGGCTGGGGCTACGGCAATGGCTCGGGCCCAGGCTGAAGCTCGAGCCAGGAGCACAACAACAATAACGGATGAGGAAACAACGAAGCGAGAAACAGAACGAACGCCCAGAAACCATAGCCAGGGCGAGGGGCGAGATTCAGGCTAAGGCTTGGGCGGCATACAAGGCAACCAGAATACGAAACGAAAAACGAAACGAAACGTACGCTCAGAATTATGGCTGGGGCTACGGCAGACCAGGCCAGGAGTGCAACAAAACAGCGGGAACAGCAAAAACGAAACGAACGTCCAAAAGCTATGGCCAAGGTGAGGGGCGACATCATGGCTGGGCCTTTGGCCACTGAAAAAAACATCAGCAACATCACGAACGACGAAACGAAATATCAAGCAAGAAAGGGCATTCCTATTTCAGCACGGTCAGATAATCGAAAGACAACGACGGCGTGAAACAAAACGCACAAAACGACGAAACGTGGAGTGAACGTAGCAAGCAAAACAACAATGAAACGCAACCTTGGAATCGCAACAACACGAAACGAAACACGACACGCGCGCCAAACAAACGTTCAACATTCAAACGCGCTGACAACGAACACAACACAACGGAACAACAACGAACACCGAAACGAAAAACGACATAAGGGCCCACACCAAGCTGAACAACATTGTGCTCGGTCCTTGTGAGGATGCTGATGATGACGATGGTGATGGTGATGGTGATGGTGATCGTGGTGATGATGATGCTGCTGCTGATGATGCCGATGACGCTGATGATGATGAGGATGATGAGGATGATGACGACGATGAGGATGAAGATGAGGATGTTGATTATGCTGATGATGATGGTGATGCTCATGGTGATGGTGGTGGTGATGATAATGTTAATGATAATGCTAATGATGATGCTGCTGATGATGAGGATGATGCTGCCGATGATGCTGATGCTGATGCTGATGATGATGATGGTGGTGGTGCTGATGATGATTGTGATGCTGATGGTTCTGGTGATGATCAATCGTCCCCTACAACAGGGCGCTTCCATGGGGACCGCAATTTTGCGACGCCTGCCCAAGGTGGGCGGATTGGAACAAACAAGCCCACTCCCAACACTCTCGCGGGCCCGTGCCTGAAGGCACAATGCCCAGAACGAACAACTCCTCTTGGCAGCCAACAGACAAGGGCCTGGAGACGGGCGCTGAACAACCGAAGCCGAGACAACCGACACGAAGACTGCCAACCCGACACTGCAATCCACTCCGCACTATGCGGCGCGGGGGGCAGCGGCGCGAAGTGTGAGCAGCCGTCATGCCAGCTAGGCCATCAGGAGAGGACTGGGTACGAAGGCGCGTCCTCCGCCGATTGGCCTGGCTCTGGCCACGCGACGGCCTCACCCCCTACCGAAACAGGCCGCGGCTGTTTGATGGCTTCATTA